GCTTCCATCCTAGAAGAATGAGATGAAAAGTACATAATATTAGAAATAGGAGGAGTCAGAGAAATTTAGCTTGTAAAACCCTAAAGAGGAAAAAATCAGTCATATGGAAGAAGCCAAGTCAACCATCATTTATTAAAGTACCTACTTGAGTTCAGCTAACTGTCAGGGATACAAAGAGAACTAAAAACAGCCCCTGCCCTCGAGGAGGGTGCCATTTCCCTGATGAGTTTAGTCAGGCCTCAAGGATGAGCGAAATAACAGCAAGTAATTATGTACAAACAAGCATGTACTGGGTAATTGAGGGTTAATCTCAGAGGGAAGGCACAAGCATTTAGGAAGATTCTGGTTGGCCCCAGAGGGCTACCATAGGAGTGGTGGGTGTTCCTTGCAGAGAAGCAGATCTTGACTTGATATAAGAAAAATCTTCTTACTAATTAGAACCCAGCCAAAACCTCAGTAAATTGGGTACATCCTTGTCACTGAAAGTCTTCATATAGAGACTAGATGACCACTTGTTGGGGTCATGATTTAAGGGGAATTCCTGCTTAGATAGAGATTGAGCTAGATGCCCTCTGAAGTTGTCTCATACTCCTAACTACTACTACTTCTACTGATGCTACTGCTGTTACTGCTAATACTACTACTAGCTAACATTTATTAAACACCTATTATGTTCCGGTCACTGTGATAAGCACTTTACAATTACTATTTCATTTGATCCTCAAAACAACCCTGGGAAGTAGATGCTATTGTTATCCTCATTTTACAGATGAGGAAACTGAGACAAACAGAGGTAAAATGACTTGCCCAAGGTCAGACAGCTGGTAAATCTCTGAGGCTGGATTTGAACTTGGGTCTTCCTAACTGTAGGTCTGGTGCTCCATCCACTGTGCCTCCTTAGCTGCCCTTAGAGCATCTGTCAGTCTATAGACTCATAGATTGGGAGCTAAAAATGACCTCAGAGGTCTCAGGGTCCATTGCTTTCATTTTACCAATGAGAAAACTGGGATGCAGCTAGATTGAGTGACTTGCCCAGGGTCACCTGGGTGTACTAAGTGTTGGAGGCAGGATTCAAAGCTGTGTGCTCTGACTCTGGAGCTAGGGCTCTTTCCACTATACCACATTGTCTTCCAAGAGTAAAGTACGAGTCAAGCAGGATCTCTTCATTTTTTTCTGTGTCATAGACCCTTTGGATAGTCTAGTGAAGCCCTTCTCAGAATGCTTTTTATATGCCTACAGTAAAACAGGGAGGATCACAAAGGAAATCAGTGATATTGAAATACAATTATCAAAATATTTAGGAGTTCATGGACCCCAGGTTGAGAACCCCTACCCAAAAGGAGTCTATAACTAGTTAGTGAACTTGCCAAGCTTGTGTCTTCCTATAGTAAGAATTTGAGGTTATTGGAGGCAATTCCCCATGTGTTTGCCCTCCCTTTCTTAGTCAGCCAGCTAGAAATTTTCCAGTTTGGACTGATTATTAGGTAATTTCTCCCATGGGCACCAGCTGTGACCTTGTGCATTTGTCTTCATTAGCAACAAGAAAGACACCTGCGGCTTCATGGGGGGGGGTAGAGTGGCACACCCTGCACCCTCTCCCCCTACTCACACCCACCCCTGCAGCAGGCAGCATCCTCAGGGAAGGTGAGCAAGGCAACTTAAACCTGTAATGTCTATGGCTACTGAGAGGCAGGATTAGTCATACTGAGAATATCCCAGCTGACAGCTGTGGCCATGAGGCCATTGGCCCTACTTGGATTCCAAAACTCACCCAGAAAAATGACATTATTAGGCAGCTCGACCAGACTGTTTCAGGAAACTTGCTTGGTTAAAGGTGCTTATTTGGATGTTTGCTGGGAAGTGTGTAGATAGATATAGAGAGAGATAAACATATGTAGATATAGATCTACACATATTTACACACATGCATGTGTATATGTGTGTATATACACACGTGTATATATACACTTATTCAACACCTTTTTTACTTTTAAAAAAAAGAAAGGAAAAAGTTCAAAAAAGGAAAGGAAACCTCTTATACTTGATCCGATTTTAACTAGTTGTATTTTCATCTTCTCTCCCTCAAGGACAATCATACTCTATCTGTCTCCCTTTATTTTTTTTTAATTCTAAACTTAACCCTAAATAAAAGGAGTATGTCCTATACACTGTAGAACAAACAACAGAAAAGAATTATACATGAAACTGGACATCTCTATTATGTAGCATTATTGTATGCTTGTCTGTGATTTCCTTCTGACCCCTTTGCAATTTGAAGTGGAGGAAGGATGGAGAAGGAATCTTAATCTTTAACCTTTCTTTCCTTCTACCTCCCTACTCTGCCCATTGAGGGGGAAAAAAAAGAAATATAAAATTTTTGTAACAAATATACATAGTCAAGCACAACAAATTGCCCAGTCAGCCAGGTCTGAAAATACATGTCTTGTTCTACGTCAAGTGTGTCACCTCTCTAGAGGTGTGTAGCATACTTCATCATTGCTACTCTCCCTATTGCTTTGGGGAGCCCATCACAGGAAACGAAATAGAGGGAGGAAGAAGGTCTCCACGGCGGGGCCTCTTGCCAACCTGTATTATCACGGATATTAATTATTTTATCAATTATTTGTAATTGTGCTATACCACACTGTTTTTTTCCTCTCCTGCGGCATTCTAAAATGCTTAACTCTATGTGTGTGTGTGTGTGTGTGTGTACACAGAATACAGATAGATGGCAGCTATATACAAAATTGAATTGTTGTCATGCCTCACTGCACTGGTAGATGACATCCAGTGCTTCTATATCAGGACAAAGCATGTGACAGCTAGGCTATTACACCAGTGGTGGTGGGGTAGGGATCTTGGCCTGAGAGCATTCAGCTATGGGTAGGAGCTAATTCCCCAAGTTGGAATGAGGCCACTGCAGTAACAGGACTGGACAGAGCAGCTGCAGAAGGTCATAAACAACTCCCTATTGCCCCAGGCACTGTTCCCTTTTATCCCAAAGCCCTCACCACCCCCAGGCACCACTGCCACCCTGAACTAGACTTATGGGGCCGTGCATTGCAGTGGCTCACACTTATCTGGAGATCATGGGAGGACAGACAGTTCACAAGATTGCAGATTTAGAGCTAAGAGACCATCTAATCCAACCCTTTCATTTTATGGAGGAGGAAACGAAGGACCTGAAAGCCTGAATTGCTGGTGCAGGGTCAAATAGATAGTATATTTTGAGGAGCCAGGTCTTCTGGCTTCTGCCATCAGTGGAGTTGTTATAGAATGAAATAACAGAATTATTAGGACCAGGTCCTACTAGACCGTACTGCAACTCTGCCGTTGGGACTTTGAACCTCTCTAGTCCTCAGCTTCCCTCTTTGTAAAATAAGGGGAGTGTTCTAGATGACCTCTAAGGTCCCTTCGTGGCTCTAAATCTATCATGCCGTGAGGTTTACCTAAATGCTTACCTATGAAGCAGTACAAGTATTAGCAGCTGCTATTTACAAATTGTGATAATAATAACTGCAATTTACATGGCACTTTATACCTGTCTTCTCATTTGCTTCTCATGACACTTTATGAAATAGGTATTATTGATATTATTATCCCCATTTTACAGAAAAGGAAACTGAGGTATAGAAAGGTTCTGTGACTTATCCACGGTCATATAACTACTGAGTGCCAAGAGTCTGGATATGAACCCAGAGCTCTCTTTGCCCGAAGTCACAGAGTGAGTCAGTGGCAGGCCAGGAACAGACCCTCACCCCCCTTCGTAGTAGAGAGAGCACTGACCTTGGTGTCAGGAAGACCTGAGTTCACTTACTCAGGCACTTACTAGCTGTGTGACCCTGGGCATGTCACTTAACCTCTGTCTGCTTCAGTTTCCTCAATAGTAACAGCACAGGGTTGTTCCCAGGATTGTTGTAAGAATCCAATAAGATAATAAGCATAAAAGCACTTAGCACGTTGCTTGGCACGTGAGCACAAATGCTTGCTCCCTCCCCTCCCCCATTATTTTCTTCCCTACACCACACTGCCTTCTCAAGAAATCCCCTGACTTTAAGTTGGATTCTGTTTTGATTTGCCCTTCACAAAGAGGAACTGAGGGAAATAATGAGGTTCTCCGTCAGGTGGAAGAGAGGATTTGTTTTAATTAAAATTTGTTTCAATCAATGAAGATCCATCTTCTCTCTCTCCTGCCTTCCCCTTCCCATTCCTGTTAAGAAAGAAAAATAAAACCCCTGTTATAAACATAAATAATTAAGCAGAGCAAATTCCTACATTGGCCATATCATACATATGTATGTGTCTGTATATATACACATCTATGTATGAATATATTCATGTGGATCTATTTCTCGTTCTGTACTCTGATCAGTCACCTCTCTCTCTGTCAGGAGGTGATTGGAATGTTTTGTCATGAGTCCTGGTAGAGAGATTTTAAAAGAAATAGAAAAGATACCCTCCCTGATCCCTGAGGATTATATAGTTTGCTTGGGTAAGCAGAGCACAGATATGTGAAAATGACTTAGACACACATCACTACAGTCTCTAACATATTACTGTCTCATGGCAGCAGCCAGAATGTTTTGTTTGTGAACTTTGGACCCTGTGGTTCTTCCTTGAAACCTACTTTTCCCTCACTCTCTTGTTGTATGTGGGGATGGAGGGGATGGAACAGGAAAGCTGCCTTTAAGTAGTATTTGAAGGGCTGTCAGGTAGAAGATTTAATTTATTTTGGTAGACACCAGATGGCAGAACTAATAGCAATGGATAGAAGTTAGAGAAAGGTAGATTTTAGCTTGACAAAGAGAAAAATCTTTCTATGAGAGTCATCCCAAAAGGCAGCGGGCTGGTTCAGGAGATAGTGCGTTCTTTATCGTTAAAAGTTTTCTGGTAAAGGCTGAAGTGTTGGGGGTGGGGATTTCTGCTCAGATACAGGTCAGACTAGATGACTGTGGAAGCGCCTTCTTTCTAGCTCTGAAATTCTTCATTCTTTACCACAGGGCACCAGCGATTTCTGTGTAGCTCCAGACAAGTTCATCCTGAATGTCACGCAGGGCCAGATGAGTACAGGTAAGCGATGTGAAGGGATACATCAATGCAGAGAAGCCAAATTATGTCCAGTTAGTTTAGGCTGGTAATTACCCCTTCCTTCTTTTATTCCTTTCCCTTCCCCCACCCCTATTGCCCACCCCTTTGCTAGAATATGTAGTTTCCTGGTTTTCTATTTTCTTCAGTCATTCTTTTCCTTGTGATGGTGCTCTCCCAGCACCTAGGACAGAGCCTGTTGCATAACACATGGTTGTCAATTCATTTGCTCTTCTGATCTCCAAAAAGAGCAGCCTCAGCAGAGCCCTTAACCCCAGCAAAGGGTTATTGAAGGGAGGTAATCTGTGTGGCTCTTAAGAGGAAAGCTGACTCTGGGAAGCAGAGGGAGGGCCACTTGGATTGCCAGTGGGCGGATGCTCAATTAGGACCTTCATCACAGCCAGTGTCTTTGCTTTTCAGAGATAACCCGTTACTACCTATACTGCAGCCAGGGCCTGAGCAACCCATTCCAACAGGTATGCACATCCTTCCTTGCCCTATGCCTCCATAACATCACAGTTTCTATCAGATCCCCAACCATCACCACCAGCATCTTGGCCAGTAAGAATAAATTTGTGTAGTTTCAAGGGCAGTGTTTGCTACCACCTCATTTTTGTCCTTTAGAGAAAGAGAGTTGTTCAGTTTCTTCATCTGTAAAATGTGAATGCTGTATTTCACGGCATAATTGTCGCACTGTTTTTTCAGTCCCAAAATTGGTTTGGAACTTTTTGTCACATAATCATCACATGGTATAATTCTGTTTGTCACACCACTTAAAAGGTAAATAGCAGCAATGTATTCACCAGTGGCATATGGATGCGCATTTATCTCTCGCTCATGCATTGTGAGTCTAGAATTCTCAGTGCTCGTGCATTGTCAGTATTCAACTTTCATGTATATTCACAAGTATTCCATGCATCCTAATCTTGCACCAAAGACAGTTTAGTAATAAATTACTTTTTCCTTGATAATTTATTTATTTTTAGTTTTCAGCATTCACTTCCATAAGATTTTGAGATCTGAATTTTCTCCTCCTCCTACTGCTCTCCCCACAACCACCTCCAAGATGGCATGTAATCTGATATAGGGTCTACTTATAATAAATGATTCTTAAGTAATACTAGCACACCTTTTTTAAAGCTTCACATAATGGTCGCATCCCACTTTTTTGCAAAAATTGCCATAAAATCTGCAACAATTATGTGGTGAAATACAGTAATAGTAGCACCTACATCACAGAGTTATTGATCATATGAAATCATATCTGTGAAGTACTTTGCAGACCTTTAAGTACATATAAATGTTAAAACCCTCAACAGTCTGGTTTTGTTGTATTGTTGTCTTCTGGGGCAATTTGTGCTGGGAAAACATACAATGGATTTTAGGAACCCTCAGGACTGAAGAGGAAGGAAATCCCAGTGCTAGCTGGAAGGGGGCATGCATGATTGAGGATGCTCTGGTGAGCTCATTCTAAGAGTCAACATTGGCTTCATGAGGAGGGTTGAGCCCCAGGGTCTGTAATGGCAGGGTCCCTGGAATGATTCTAGTGCATCCTTGGCTTCTGAGTGTGAGGGTGGGGAATAGCAAATGACATCTGATGCTCTGCTTCTCTGTTGCTCTCAGGCATTGACCGTCTTCCAGCGATCATTAACTACAATGCAGATCCAGGTCCTTGGCCTATTACAGTTTGCAGTGCCCTTGTTCCCCACAGCAGAGGTGAGGAGAGGAAATGTGCATCCAGCAGGAAGTAAGGATGAGGAGTAGGAGTGGGGGGGGGGGAAGAAGGGTAGTATTCATATCTTTCTAAAGCCTGGGAGGCATGATCATTTAGTCCATCTTCCAGAGAGGATCATACAATAGGATGAGGACTGACAAAGGCCCTTTGGGCACCAAATCTAGCCTGGTAATCTCTTTCTTAGTAATAAATTACTTTTTCCTTGATAATTTATTTATTTTTAGTTTTCAGCATTCACTTCCATAAGATTTTGAGATCTGAATTTTCTCCTCCTCCTACTGCTCTCCCCACAACCACCTCCATCAGTTGATATTTAAGAGTTTTTTTCCCCACCCTTCCCTCATGCCCCTTCAAATGGTTAGGAATGTACTGAGGATTATCTTAATCTTTGTAGGCAGTTAGAATACTGCCTCTGATGCTAAACTTTCTGTGGGATCTTAGACAAATTATGCTTTTCCTGGCTAAGCTTCAATTTCCCCATCTGGAAAATGAGGGGGTTGGACAGAATGGCCTCAGAGGTCCCTTCCAATTCAAACTCACTTCCTATGATCACATCATGACCTAACTGCCTGTAACTCAGAGCATCCAAGAGCCTCAGCTAGAAACTAATACCCATCGCACCCTTTTCCCCTTCCCCTTCCCTTTCTCCTCCCTCCTCTCCCTTTCTCCACCTGGTTCCCTGGAGCCAGGTTCCCACTTACATGGGCCAGACTTGCTTTCCAGTATTTTTCAGAGGGTGCTGAGAATGTGTAATGCATTCTCTCTCCATCCCTCTTCCTCGTGGGTTGGCTCCTTCCCCCTGGTTTTAAAAGCTACTTTGCAAAAGCAGGCTTATCGTTGCAACCGTAAACCTTGTCCCCTTCTCTCCACTTCAGAAAGATCTGCTTGGGATACAGCTGCTGCTGAACTCATCTGAGTCCAGCCTCCATCAGCTGACTGCCATGTTAGATTGCAGAGGACTGCACAAGGTATTAGCTGGGGAGGGGAATATGGGGCTCGCACTGCAGGATTAAGAACTTTGCCCAAGCTAGGGTGACTAATGGAGGATGGCAGGTGGGGAGCAGTTGCCTTGAGACCTAGGCTAGGTTTCACCATGAAGGAGCTGTAGCTGTAAAGGGGAGGGTGTTGGGGTTCATGAGTCTCCTGAGATTCCTCCTAGCAGCTGGGAGAAGGAGGCTCTGAGTAAGTCACTGAAGCCTTCTGTTCAGTGAGTGATGAGTCACTGCCCCATATTGCAGACACACAATCCCCTGTCTACCCAGCTGTTCTCCTGGGGAGTTAGGATCCCAGCCTTTCTCTTATTATCAAAAAACATTGTTTAAAGACTTGTTTGCACAAAGAAAACTAGAGAGACCCAATCCCTTCCCTCTAAAGAAGGCATGTGTGTGGACAGAGAATTTATATGTATGTGTGTATATATGTGTGAGAAAGAGAGAGAGAGAGAGCACGCGCACACCAGAGAAAGAGATCTTTTATTTTGTTAGGGCAGGACATTACTAGTTTGGGAGCTTCCTCTACAACAAAAATTTCAGATCTCTCTAACTTAGATAAAAGCAAGGGAGTTTTCCGAGACATACAGACATGAATGAAGTGACTTGCTCAGGTCTTCCTGACTCCAAGCCCAGGCTTTGTTCAATACACTATACCAATATAGAGAATGTGCAGTGGAAAGAGACCTAGGTTCAAATTTAGGCTTCTCTACTTAGTAACAGTGTGATCTTGGGCAAATCACATAACCTCTAAGGAGGGGTTTAGACCAGATGTCCTTTAAAGTTTCTTTAAGATTTAAATATAAGGCTGTATTTGTTCAGTCATTTCAGTCACTTCTGACTCTTTGTGGCCCCATTTGGGGTTCTCCTGGCAAAGATACTGGAGTGGTTTGCCATTTCCTTCTCCAGCTCATTTTACAGTTGAGGAAACTGAGGCAAACAGTTAAATGAGTTGCCCAGGGTCACCCAGCTAGTATAGCTGGATTTTGAGGCTGGATCTGAACTCAGAAAGATGAGTTTTCCTGACTCCAAGCCAGGTATTCTATTTACCGTGCCAGCTAGCTGCCCCCAAAATATAAGGTGATAGGAGATAATAAACTGGTCTATGACAACATGAACATAGTCACATCAAATGCCTACTTGAGAGGAAAGGGTAAGAAGTACTCAACAAGAATGGCACCTTGATTTGTCATATTCACTCCAGAATGAGTTTTCCGTCCCTTTCTAGGATTACCTTGATGCCCTAATTGGTATCTGCTATGATGGTGTTGAAGGGCTGCTCTATCTTGGCCTGTTCTCCCTCTTGGCTGCCATGGCCTTCTCGACCATGATCTGTGCAGGGCCTCAGGCCTGGAAATATTTGGTTGTGAGGTAGGTTGATGGGAGAGAGAAGACAGGAGTCTCCTGCTGTTTCTCATCTCTGCAAAGGGATAAGGAGGGATATGATGACCAGTCTGGGTCCTCTGCTCTGGGATTTAAGCAACAAGAGTCCATTCTGAGTCTAGAAGAGGGCAGGAGAGTGGTCGAGGCTTCAGCCTTCAGCAGGTGGTTGATTTTCTGTGGAAGTATCCAGGAAATTTTAGGAGCTTCAATGTGGAGAGGTGATGGTGACCGTAGTGGGGTTGGGGTGGAGAATGCTTTTACTAAAGTTAGACCATGGTGCTTTAATCTTTGAGCTGCCCCTCCCCTTAGGGATGAATTCCTCTGATGTTCAGCCTTAAAAGGTAGTTAGAAGAAACCAGGATGAAACTAGGCAACTTTCTAGGGCACACCATCTGCTAGGAAGCCAGGCAGACAGTGTGCCCTAGACAGCTCCTTTTCTGTTGCTACCCTTCGCTGTCTTGTGTTACATGAGACCTTACATTATAGAATGAATGGGGCAGGGGAAGGTTATACTAGTGTACTCTTATCAGTCTCATGTCTCTATGTTTCCCACTGTTGCCCCTACTTTCTCTAGTAACCAAGAAAGATGATTTCTACTGTGTGCTAAGCATAATGGAGATGCAAAGATGGAAAGATAGGCATTTTAATATGTATTTTAAAAAATTAGAAGTCCAACAAATAAACATAAAAGAAAAGTTATTAAAGATTAGATGGAGAAATAAATTGGAAACAACAGAAATTATAAATAAAACTAAAAGCTGAATCTCTGGAAAGGCTACTAAAATTGATGACCCCCTAGTCGATATGATTAAAAAGAATGGAAAATTAAATCAGCAAAACAGCAAATGAGCAAATTGAAATCACAACAAAAGCAGAAGAAATAATAAGAATAATCAGAACATATTATGATCAATTGTATGCTAAGAAAACTGAGAACACAAAAGAAATAAAGAAATGCCTTTAAAAATATAAAATACCCAAAGTCTCAGAAGACCAATTAGAAATCTTAAATAATCCAGTCTCAGAAAAGGAAATAGATTTAGCCATAAAGGAACTACTGAAGGACCATCCTAGTCCTGATGGATTCATAGGAGAATTCTATCAAACTTTTAAAGAACAGTACCCAAATTATTCTCAAACACTGAGAAAGAAAGCACCTCACTAGAATCCTTTTATGAAACAAATATACCCCTAATACCTAATTCCCTAAACGAGAGAAGGATAAAACACAGAAAGAGATAGGCCAGTATTATTTAATGAACATTGACTCAAAAATTTAACAAAATCTTGTCAAACAGACTACAGCAATTTATCCAAAAAATCATCCATTATAATCAAGTGAGATTTATGCCAGGAATGCAAGAATGATTCAACATCAGGAAAATAATCAACATAATTAATCATATTAAAAACTAAAATATCCAAAACCACAGAGGACCTTTTTTTAATATCATAAAAAGCATCAATCTGAAAACTAAAATCAAGCATCAAAAGCAAAGAGAATACACTAGGACCTTTTCTAATAAATACAGGCATGAAGCAAGGATGCCCGCTCCCCTCATATATTGATATAGTTCTGGAAATTCTAATAGCAATAAGACAAGAGAAGATAATTAAAGGAATAAATGTAGGTAAGTTGGAGATAAAACTACCCCTGTTTGCTGATGATATGATGGTCTGTTTGGAAAATCTTAGGGAATCAGCAAAGATACTAATTGAGATAATAGCTTCAGCAAAGTTGCAGGCTACCAAAAAATCCTTAAAAATCAACCGCATTTCTAGTAATACTAGCAAAACACAAGAAGCAATAATAGAGGAAAATCCCATTCCAAATAACCACAAAATGCACAAAATATCTGGGGATCAACCTCCCAAAGCACACAAAAGACTTGTGTAAATTCAATTACAAAGTACTCCTTAAAGAAATAAGGAACTTAAATAGCTAGATGAATATTCAGTGCTTATGAAAATGACAATACAACTGAAATTAATTTATTCTTTTGATGCCAAAATAATCAAATTACCAAGGGAATACTTTACAGAACTTGATAAAGAAAATAACAAAATTCCTTTGGAAAAGCAGATCTAGAATATCGAGGGAAATGATGATGCTTCTGCAGGGACGAAGAGAGAAATGCACTTCCAGACCTCAAATTATATTATAAAGCAGCAATCATCAAAACCATCTGGTATTGGTTAAAGAACAGAGAGAGATTAATGGAACAGACTAGATAGGCAAGGGAGATTCAGAAATAATAGAACTCAATAACCCATTGTTTGATAAATCGGAAGATGTAAAATTACCTAGGGAAAAACTCCCTATTTGATCAAAACTGCCAAGAAAACTAGAAAGCAGTCTGGCCGAAATTAGGCTTAAACTAACATCTTATACCATAATCCACAAAACTTTCAAAATGGATACACTTCAATATTAAAGATCATGCTATTAAAAATTAGAAGAGAAACAGAATATATATTTCTCAAAACTATGGGTGGGAAATGTATTCTTAACCAAACAAGAAATAGAAGCAAACAAAATATAAAATAGACAACTTTGATTACTTGAAACTGACAAGCTTCTGTACAGACAATATTAATGCATCTAAGATAAGAAGGGAAGTAGTCAAATGGGGAAAAAATCTGTATCTAATTTCTCTGAGAAGAGTTTGATATCCAGGATATATAAACTCTCTCTCTCTTTCTCTCTCCCCCTCCCTCCCTCCTTACCTCCCTCTCTCCCTCTCTTCCTCTCTCCCTCTCTTTTTCTCTCTCCCTGTCTCTGTCTCTCTATACACACACACATACACACACACATATACATATACAGACCCACACACACACATATGACTGATATCCATTCCTCAATAAATAAATGCTCAAAGGATATAAACAAATAATTCTCAAAAAAAACTGCCAAGTATTCACAAACACATGAAAGAATGCTCCAAAATCCCTAATAATAGGAGAAATGCAAATGAAAACAACCCTAAGGTTTTACCTCACACCCTGCAAATTGGAAAAAATGACCAAAAATGTCAAGAGTCAATGTTGGAGGGGTTGTGAAATAGTACAACTATTTTGGAAAGGCAGTTTGGAATTATGCAAATAAAGTGACTAAAATATCTATACCCTTTGATCCAAAGACCCCATTACTGGGCTTTATACTCTAAGAAAGCCATCAATAAGAAAAAAGTCCACATAAACTTCAAAGTATTTATAGCAGCATTTTTTGTGATAGCCAAGAATTAGAAACAAAATAAATCCACAACAATTGGGGAATAATTAAACAAATCGTAGTACATATGTGTAATGGAATATTATTGTACTGTAAGAAATTATATGTGTGATAAATACAGAAAAGTATGGAAAGATTTATATGAACTGATGCAGAGTGAGGCAAACAAAGTCAAGAAAACAGTATACACAGTAACTGCAGCAATGTAAATGGAAAGAATGATGCACCAAAAAAAAAAATCAAAAGTAAATGTAACAAAATTTTAGAGATGAAACAGGACCCAAATGAGAACTATAAGAAGACACCCCCACCATGTCCCTTCAGAGATAGGGAGATAGCTGGAGTTAGGTAGATGGAGCTCGTAGTAAGCACTCACTGTATGCCCTGTGCTAAACCCTGAGAATATAAACACAAGAAAAAGAAAGACAACACATGCAAAAGAGCTGAAAAGCAGAGGATAGGCTGAGAAGGGAGGGTATTCACATAGGGTAAGGTGCAGAGGAGGTCTGGGGCACCATGGACTGTCCCAGCTTTGAAGAAAACAGGATGGCTAGCATGGGTGCTAATAGAGGCAGGACCTCAAATAGAGGTTCTGGGAGGAACTCACCAATGACAGGCAGAAGCCATCGGGGCAGAGGCCTTGCCGTAGTGAAGAGAAGGCTCCTGGGGTCCAGAAGTGGAGAGGTGGTCAAAATAAAACACAGTCCCTGCTTTCAAGGTGCTCACAAAAGAAAATGTATACATATGAAAATAAGTGTTATACTGTCTTGTTTTGCTGGTTAAATGTCCTATTTAGTAAAGGTAACATGTGGGAAGTGGTAGATGAGGGGTATGGTTAAGTGGTATTGGTATTTAGAGACAGGGAAGGTTGTCCTGGGCTGGTGCCATCATGGAGGGCTTCAGGGAAGAGGTGAGTCTTGAGTCCTGTTTTATTTGGATGAAAGATGACAAAAGGCTGGGTACTCCAGTTGTAGAGAAGGACGCAAGTGAAAGAACAGACTGATTAGATTGGAGAGTTCGTGTAGAGTAGCAGGCAACAAGGTTAGGCAGGAGGGTTGGGGGCCAGATTGTGGAAGGCCATGAATGTGAGGCTAAGGACGCCTAGCGTTCTGCCCCATGCTCCTGGCTCTGACATGCCCTGCTCTGCCTCTTGTTTCAGGGACAGGAGCTATGATGACATTGACGAAGATGACCCTTTCAACCCCCAGGCCCAGCGCATCGCTGCCCACAACCCTACCCGGGGACAGCTCCGAAGTTTCTGTAGCTATAGCAGCAGCCTGGGCAGTCAGACCAGCCTGCATCCCCCAGCCCAGACAGTCTCAAATGCCCCTGTCTCGGAATACATGTGAGGCCAAGGGGAGGTGTGGGTTCGGCACCCTCAGCTTCCACAAGTCCCAAGTTAGGAAAACAAATCATCGTACAAAATCCCTTCATAGTTCTGTTTTGCCCAAGAAGAGATGCAGAGGGCTTCCCTGCTTCTGACTTCCTAGGCCAACAGGACAGAGAAAATGCCCCTACTCTGTAGAATGCAAGTGGCATCCCCTGTACATGGCCTGTGATGAGCTAGCCCTGGGCTGGGGCACCGCTGGCCATGGTTAGAATCATTGAGACAAGACAGGGCTACATAGAAAGGTAGTAAAGGCAATTGAAGAAAAAGTATCACAAAGTAGGAGTTCTTAGCTTGTATCGTAGAACCCTTTTCAGAATAATGTTTTTAATTGAATAAAACAAAACACAAAGGAAACAATTCTATTATTATAATTGTCTTATTAAAATTATAAAAACATTTGTTTTTAGGTCCACAGCCCTCAGGTTAAGAAGCCCTAGTTCTAGGGAGATCCAGGGATTGGGGCAGAGGTCCTAATGTGTGCTCAGTAGCCATTCCGTCTGTCCTTCTACTCAGCCAGTGATATTTAGCAGCTACGATATGCTATTATATATTGTGTTATATCATATATCTTATCATATATCATATTATATTATATACACAAGTCTCTATTGGATGACCAGAGGGCAGCTGTTGGTGTTTAATAGACATTTCTAGGTACAGGTAGTTGTGGTGGTGCCGCACATCCCATATCTTCCCATGTGGGCACCTCTCTCCTGAAGTGAGCCTCCCCTCTACCTGGCCTGTTTGTACCTTCCTCTCCCCTTTTGTTTTCACTTTCCCCATCTATTTTAGCTTTCCTGTTCCCCCTCCTAAGCAAGTCTTCTCCAACCTTGCAGGAACCAAGCGATGCTCTTTGGTGGAAACCCACGCTATGAAAATGTCCCGCTGATTGGAAGAGCCTCTCCGCCCCCCACGGTACTCTGGCCTACTGAAGCTAAGTCTTGGCAGTAAATTCCCCTTTTCCCAAATTCTCCCTCCTCAATAGCCTTTCCCTTTGAAAGAACGAGGGAAAGTGGAGGAGAAGGAGTGGAGATCCCATAGTGGCTGGGCTGGTGTTAGATCCTGAGGTGTCCACCATCTGGCATTCTTTAGAGTAGATCAACTGAAATGTAAAGAGTCTGAAATATTCAGGGGACTTCTGGGTAGGGTTTTCCCTCTACTAGTGAAAGTTGGCACCTTCTTTGTAATTTATATGTAGTCTTGTGGAATTTTGTGGAGTAGAAGTGTCAAACACTAACAACACTCCCTGCTGCAACCAGATAAAATATATATATATATATACACACACAAAATAAAAGTACAATAGAACATAGATAATGTTGATATGCAGTTTTTTAAGTTAATAAGTTGCCTACAGGGATTCTTATATAAAGAGGCTTTTAGGTGGCTCAATGGATAGAGCGCTGGGCCTGGAGTCAGGAAGACCTGAGTTCATGTCTAGCCTCAGAAGCTTCCTAACTGTGTGACCCTGGGCAAGTCACTTAGCCTCTATCTGCCTCAGTCCACTGGAGAAGAAAAGGCAAACCACTCCAGTATCTCTGCTGAGAAAATCCCATGGACGGTACTGGTGTGCTTTGGTCCATGGGTCACAAAGAGTCAGAAAGGACTGAACAGCAGTGGAGCAGTTTCTATTTGAGTTTGACCCCTCTGTGGTAGAACATTGAAAGATTAAGTCATTAGCCTAGGGTCACACAATATGTGTCAGAGGCAGGGCTCGAGCTGGGGTGTGCCTGGCCATCTCTATCCACAATGCCTTTCACCGCTGTATTCTAGCAGGGTACAATAATGGATATTTTGGGGGAGGAGGAATGAAGGCGTTAGAGTGTCATAGGATTGTGGATTTAGAAATAGAGACCTTAAAAGCTATCTAGCCCAACCCTCATTTTATAGATGAGGAAACTGAGGCACAGAGCAGTTCATCAGACCATAGATTTAGAGCTGGCAGGGGCCTTCGAGACCATCCAGTCCAACCCTCCCCTCTCATTTTTGTTGTTGTTCAGTTGTTTTCCAGTCATGTCCGACTGTTCACGATCCCATTTGGGGTTTTCTCAGCAAAGACACTAGAGTGGTTTGCCATTTCTTTCTCCAGCTTGTTTTATAGATGAGGAAACTGAGGCAAACAGAGTTAAGTGACTTGCCCAGGGTCACACAGCTATTAAATGTCTGAGGCCAGATTTGAACTTGGGAAGATGAGTCTTTCTGATCCCAGCTTTGTGATCTATCTACTGCACCACCTAGTTGTCTCCCCGTTTTACAGATGAGAGAACTCAAGTGACTTACCCTAGGCTACATAGCTAATAAATAAGTGGCAGAGCTAGGATTTGAATCCAGGTCCTGTCATTCCAAAGTCTGCTTGAGGTTTCATTTGCCTGCAGCGTGTCTTGATGTGGACCACCTAATTCCCTATTGATGGTGGATAACAGAAGTGTGTCGACTCCTATTTTGGTCTTTTCCAGTTGCAGGTTAGCCTTTCACCGATGTCCCCCAAGATGGCTTGTGAGAGCCTTGGACTCTTGCAGGGAGTCAGATGGCAGAAGGAGGAAGAGCTAGTCAGTAATCCAGGCTGCGCTGATCATGAATAGAATCTCCTGGGAAGGTGGAAAGTAGATAATGGGAGAAAGTGAGGGAGACTGAGGAACAAGCCGGGTTGTACCCACCCCGCCTCCGGGGCAGATTATTTGAGCTAGATGGGACCTCTAAACCCCTTGCTCTTACAGCTGAGGAGACTACAGCCCAAAGAGAGAAGGATGCTGGACCTGGGTCACCCAGTAGGTGTCTGAGATGGGATTTGAACCCAGACCTTCCTGACTGTGGCCAAGTCTAGGGCTCTGTCCGCTGTGCTATTGCTCAGGCCGTGTTGAAGGAGATCTGAGCCACTTCTGAGGGTCCCCTAGAGCTGGCGGCCCTCGGGACTAGGAGAAAAACAAAAGAGTGGCTGAGGGGGGGTGGTAGGTTCAACCTGGGTCTGGGTTGGTCTGGGCAGCCAATGACCTTTCCCATGTCCAGGAGGAGGGGTCCCAGGCAGTTTAGAACTCTGGCAAGGAATTCTTATTTTGTCTGCCCTTCAGCCTTGCATCCAAGGTCAACTGTTGATTATCTATGCTTATGAGGGGAGAAAATAGGTAATCAGAAATAATTTATGTTTGGCGATGTTTAATTCTATTTTGCCTCAACAGAGTTTCCTTAATGAGAATGCATTAAATATTAAGATCTTCATGCAGTCCCTAGACATATAGTGACTGATGCAGGGGAGTAGCTTTTGGCATCTAAAATCCCAGTGGTAGAAAGTGGAATATAGTAAATTTATCTCCTGCCCCAGCACCAGAGGGAGCCCAGGCAGCAAGCTCAAAGATTAGTATATTCCCCTGGGGCTAAGGTACTGTGCATTTCGGTGAAGGTGCTTCAGAGTAATACAAATGATAAAGAAATCATTTAAAAGCAGGGAAATTTAGTCTGGGGTCATTCACAGCAACTAATTTCTTGGGCAAAAGAACTTGGGAGAGAAGGTGGCAGTGTGGATACAGCACTACTTGTAGAGTCAGGAAGACCTGAGTTTAAATTTGACCTTGGAAACTTACTAGCTGTATGACCCTGGGCAAGTCACTTAACCTCTGTTTGCCTTAGTTTCCTCAATTGCAAAATGGAGATAATAACCGCACCCTCCTCCAAGGGTTGTTGTGAGGATCAAATGAAATATTTGTAAAACATGTAGCGCAGGGCCTGGTGCATATTGTTTATCCTTCATTCTCAAAGAAGACCGTGACATCAGGAAGGTAATGCCAGGACTTGCAAATGAATGGAATTTAAGTGAGGGAGGGCTGTTCAAAGTCACCAGCCCCACTTTCTCCTCTGGAGCCATCTGGGTTCAGTGGCAAGATACAGATCAGGATGACTGGAGATTGCTGCACCCCACCCCCACCCCCATAGTAAAGCACTATATAAATGCACATTCCCTCCCCTGAGGCCTAATAATGTAGGCTATAGATTAGCAAAGTCGTCTCCAGAGCACCCAGCAGCACCTCCTAGGTCCACACTACTGCCTTTTCTGGGAAGTTAGAGATCCCTCTCTTGCATCAATCCCCATAGATATTTTAAGTTACTTGGGGCCACTTAAGGAATTGTGGGTTCTTTGATGTGATCAGCCTTGTTGTAGAAGACCTTGCTTCTTGTACACTGACCTGTCCCCTCAACCATTTTCTCCATGTATGCTAATTATTACTAGCCTCATTCTTCACCAGTGACTCCTGACCCCTTCCCCATTCCTGAATCTTGGAGGTCAGCTGGCTTCTTGCAATATGAAGAGGGCAGGCACCTGGCTATCCACTTGTGGTATTGACATGCCTCTTGGTATTTAGGGTGAGCAGGTCAGGAGCTTCCAGCAGGGATAGCTGGGAAAACTTGAAGCTAGAAATAGACAGCGCAGCAGGCAGGCACCTCCTAGGAGTGGGCCTATGGACCGAATCTCCTACTTCAAAAGCTGCCTTTCCAGCCTTGGCTGTAAGCAGTCCAGTTTAAAATGGGCAGAGACTAATTTGAGCCTCTGTTTCTAAGCTAGCAAAGGCAGAATAATCTACTCTCTAAGCACATATCATATGCATATCTTGTGGGGGGGGGAGTTTTAAAAAGAACTATACTGCTGAAAGACCCACTCTCCCCCTCCTTCTTAAAAGCTGTAAGCTGAGATGTAGATCTCAGAATTTTTGAGGGTAGATGATTAAGAAGGTTTCAGATGTGCTAGCTAATAATGGTTCTTCTAAAAGCAGGTCTGAACCTTGTTGGCATCATAGACCCCTCTGGCAGTCTGGTGACCCCTCTGGCAGTCTGGTGACACCTCTGACCCGTTCTCAGCACGTTTGCAAATTGATAAAGCAAAATACATGGGATTCCAAAGGAAACCCAATGATATTGAAATACAGTGGGTTTTTTGTTTTGTTTTTAAACAAGTTTACATACCCCAGGTTAAGAACACCTGTTCTAAAGCAGGTAAAGTAACATTGAAAGGCCTGAATTTTTAGTCGCTCTTGAGCTCTTGGCTAGAAAAGTCTCATAAAAGTCACTGTCCCTCTTCAGAGGTATTTAGGGTTCACATTAGGGGCTCCCCCTCATCCCCTCAATATGACAGAGGTCTGTGTGCTCTCTTCCACTTTGGTATTTCCTGAAGAAATGCTCCTTCTGTGTTTTGACTCCATGGGTTAACTCATTCCTCTTTGCAAAAAAAAGTCTGGAGAACACTGCCCTGTCTATGAATATCCTGTTCTGTCATGTGCATTTCTGATTGTGAATGCCATACTAGGCTTCCTCTGCTGGTGTAACATCTTTATACTGTTAGAACTTTCTAATGTAACTTTAACTAACAAGGTACCTAATGAGGAGTGATAATGGAAATGCATTTCCTGCTCTCATTTTTTTTTCTCTTTTCTCCCTCCAGTACACTCCCAGCATGAGGGCGACATACCTTTCCGTCACTGATGAGCACATGAGGCATTACGGGAATGAGTTTCCAGCCCAGTAGTCTTCCAGTGGTTTCTTTCTTTTCTTTCTTTTTTTTTTCCCAAAAGAAAACACAAGCTATATTTCTTGAATAGAAATTAAAGGAAACTAGAAAAATGCATGAACTAAGCAAATGAAACAAGCTCAGCTGAAGAGAGCATGAGCTGGTGGAGCTGATTGAAGAGAGGGCAGACTCCTGAGCAAGGCTGGAGAGCTGGAATATGGCAGACTGCCAACCCTAGACAGAGAGAAGATGTCAGGAGTCTCTAGGGTGCACATACCAACACCTGCCTGTCTTCCTGTCCATGTTGGAAATGCCCTATGGTGGGAGCCTAGAAGCTGCTGTTCCCCAAGTTGTATTTCAGTCATCTTCTCCTTTCAAAGAAAAGGTGGGAGGCCTGGACAGGCCCAGATGCTGCAGTCTGGGGACAGAGCTGTCTCTCCTTGGACCTTCGTTGAGGACTTTGTCTTCTGTTACATTTTGATAGTTACTCGGAGTCAAAAGCACAGGTCATCAGATCTCTTAATCTCCTCTTCCCTCTCCTTCCTGACTGCACTGATTAGGAGAGATTTTTTTTTACCTGCCTGCAATAGAGGGAAGAGTTGTTTTTGTTTTGTTTTGTTTTGTTTTTAAAGAGAAGTTAAATGTGAAATACATAGTTTAATACTGTCCGAATAAATAGGCCACAGGGCCACACTGACTCTTTGGTAGAGAGGCAGCTAACCAGGATAATGGAACTGAATTTTCTTAATGGGGAAGAGGTGAGAGAGACGTGTTACTTTTTTTTCACGTTTATTTCCATGCAAAATTTTCTCTCTTTTTCAAGAGGAAGATGTGGGGTCTTGGCAACAACTTGGTAGAAGTAAGCTTATTGAGTATGAAACATAGGGATGGGAAGGTGATAGAGACAGAAAAAAGGGATAGCATTGGATAGTGCATACTGATAGTCTTCCAGGAGACCTTAGGATTGGGATTTGGGGCCAATTTGGTCTCCTCCATTGTGTACGTGCATCATTCACGTTTGCCATTGGACAACCACCCTTCCTATTATGCCTTTGACCTCCTTGTTTTCTCACAGATGGAAATTCTGCTCTAAGTTTATCAGATGTAATAGGGCTGGTCTCAGGTGTTCATAGAAGCATTTGAAAGGGCATATAACCCTCTTTTTTTCTCCAGTGTTTATTTTTTAATTGATTAATCCAAAGGAGAGAAACCTTCAGCACATTCTCCTTTTAAGATATGGGATTTTGAATTCATTTCCTACGTTTAAAAAAAATATTGGTATTATTCTTAGTACTGATCAGCTCCCCTGGGTTTAGCAGAATTTTTTTTTTAATAAAATGCAATAGACAACTAAGAGTGAGACATCTACCAGTGCTTGCAGAAGATCCTGCTTTCATCCCACTCAGGGAGAAAGTCTCTTTAATGAGAGAGGCAGCTAACCAGGATAATGGAACTGAATTTTCACACTGGGGAAGAGGTGAGAGAGACACGTTACTTTTTTCACGTTTATTTCCATGCAGAATTTTCTCTCTTTTTCAAGAGGAAGATGTGGGGTCTTGGCAACAAGCAGGAAAAAGTGTCTTCTACTGTGTCATACCTCTTCCCTACCACTGACATTTTCATTGATTCTTTCATATGCTATGCTACCAGCCTTCACCTCCATTGTGAAAATAGGCTTTTGAGCCAGGAGGAAATAATGACCTACCATTCTGCCTCTCCTGAGGATTAAAGGTTAGGGTCTTTGGTGCTTCCAATCTCCTGCCAACCCAAAGTGCACATGCTCAAGCCCCTCCTAGAGCAGGAATAAAATTCTGCTTTAGCTTGAGATTGGGGGGCTTCTTGTGGCTTTGGAAGAGCTCCCTTATTGGAATAACAATGCTGACACGGTGTGGAGTATTGGCTAACTTATGGCAGGTAAAACCAGCATTGGCAAGCCAGGCCATCCCAACCCAGGGCTCTTCCATTAGAGCTACTGAACTATCAGTGACTCACTGTGTCCCTCACTAACACTAACCTGTATATACTCTGTACGATAGAAACATCCTTTGAATGTTTGTGACCATGGACCATGTGACTAGGAGCGACTGTTACACAAAGTTTTGCTTCTTAATATTTCATTGTTGTAACTAGGACAGCTATTTTTAACGCATGTAAATGGAACATTCTTTTGGGGGCTCCTGAAGGAGCAAAATGGGGAAACCTCTGCCTGAATGTGGATGTACCTGCCCAGGAGAAAGAAATAAACACTTGTACTAAAGTTTGGAGTTGGTTTCTAACTTCCTCAGCCACCCAGGGACATCAAGCCTTGAACTGACTCTTTCTGGAATATGGTGGTAGTTCCTTAGGAGTGGTAGAGATTACAAACTTTTTTTTTTAATTTTAAAGTCAAAGGATGTGATGGCAACGTTAGTAAATCACTGACTTCTCTGTTTTGGGCAAACTTTACTCGGGGAGGAAAGGTCATCACTTCAGTTCGAACCTATGCCATCCTTTCTCCAATTTGCCTTGCAGGAAGATAGCCTTACTATTGCTGGGATGGCTGCCGTCGGTTATTCAATGTGTAACACAGGTCTTGGAGTCCAGAGGCCCTGGTTTTGAGTCCTGGCTCCTACTCTATTAATCATGTCTGTTCCAGACCCTTCCCCTTTATATAACCCGTACAGAGCATTGTACTAGCAATTTTGCAGACTATGTTTGCTGCTTCCTGGTCCTGGTGAAGCCTGTATCTGAACTGTATGTATTCATGACGTCAGTCATTCAAAAGAGAATTTATTGGCAACAATTTTGTTCTAATCAGTGTGGTAGGAGTTAGCCATAAAGATAAAAACAAAATAGGCCCAGACCTCAAATAGTGACTTTCTCTCAGGGATGGCCGTGAGCGTGTATATCTAGGGGAAGGGCATTTCACGTAGTAGGTGTCATTTGAATAGAATTTTGAAGGAAACGAGATCCTAAGAGTAGAGTTTGAGTACCCACCCAGCATGGAGGTTGGGTAAGGCAAAGGTGCAGAGACGGGAGTTAGGGTTAGGGAGTGTTATGTGCAAGAAAGAGCAAGGAGGTGACTTTGGCTGGGGGGTTAATTGTACCAGGATGGTAGACATGAGTAGAGAGAGTATGGGGGCGTGGATCTGTGAGAAAGAAGTCTTCACACAAGTCTTCTATAAAGCTTTCTGAAAAGTCTAGATTCTCTTGATCCATGAGGATACTTGTCCAAGACCCAGCAAATGGGGAAAGGGGCCCAGGTTTCCTGGTTCCCAGTCAATCATTTTGTCTATATGTACCAGAGGCAGGGGTGGGGAGTCTGCTGCCTCATGAGCACATGTGGCCCTCTAGGTCCTCAAGTGCAGCCCTTCGAATCCAAACTTCACAGAACAAATCCCCTTAATAAAAGGATTTGTTCTGTAAGACTTGGACTCAGTCAAAAGGCCGCACCCAAGGACTTAGAAGGCCACATGTGGCCTCGAGGCCACAGGTTCCCCCAGCCCTGTACCAGACCATCTGGGGCCTTCCAAATGAGCTTGGTCTTTTGGACCTTTACTTGTAATGGGGGGAGGGGAGACCAGGAGGGGCAGGGGGCTTAGGGGGGAGGAGAGAAAGAAAGCAGCTGCTCTCTTGCTCTTTCCTGAACACCTGCAAGGTGGAACCTCTGGAGTATACAACCAGAGTTTTGAGAGAAGAGTATTTGGAATGAGATATAAGAGGCTTTTCCTATCACCAGGCTGAAAATTTATCAGATGTGAAGATTCCTTTATTGAAAATGTTGTCTTTTTTTACCCCTTCACAAGAGGTAGTGGGACCCCACTCCCTTTTCCTCCCAAACTATAGGATCCCAAGGGTAATACGAAGTGATAATCAAAGCAGTGGGGCACCTCTCTGTGTTCTAAGCATTGCCGATTTTGAGAGTAACTACTCCAACCCAATTCTCACGTGAGGGGAGACACGAGATTCTACTTAATTTTCTCTGGGCTCTGAGGCGAAATGACATTAAGTCAGGTCCTAGACAAATAGAGAAGACTGTGGTATGTGGATGCTGAGGAGGTCAAGAGTTCTAGTTTATTTCTCTTCTAGATCTGAGCTACCCTCTGTTCCATGACCACAATCTGTATCTCTAACTCTGGCCACTCATTTCTGAAAAGGAAAAGAAAGGGAGGGTGAGGAAATATCATGGGTGCTAGCCTCACAGTGTAGCCCACATTGGCTCTGAAGATCCTTACTCAATTCTCTCACAGATAAGTCTCGGGTCCTAGGACAACACTATATCTCTCCATTAGGGTTCTAGGGGTGCCTCTGAGGAAGTGGCTATGGTTCTCTAATGGTTTATAAATCCCCAAGGGGAGGTTGTACTAAAATTTCTTTAATGGATCCTTAAGTAGTAAATAATAGCAGAATATTATGAGTGGTGTATTAAATTACCCTGGGAGTTCCCAATATTCTGTTGTTAAAAGTGGTTCACAGAACAAAAAAATATGTTGGAAATAGTGCTCTAATGCCATCTTCTTGAGCCCTGACTGGTGTGCTTCCTGTAAGATTATTAGTTAAAAATTATGTTACTCAGTGATGGCAGCATCGGTCCACCTCCTCTAGACTTCCTGGCACTTCTAATGATTATTAAATATTGTCTTCTCCCTCTGAGTGGGGTGCGACAGGCCTGAGTGTCAAGATGGTTTTAGATCCTGAAACAAATCGTTTTTCTACCAAGGTCTTCCTCCTTATGCCATAATTTATTAAAGGAGTGGAAGAATGGTGACCAGAATAATGTTTATCATAAAATGGAGAGTTGAAATTTTTTTTTTGAGGAGGAATAAAGCATTTATTAAGCACTTACTGTGTGCAAAGCATTGTATGAAGTGCTAGGAATACAAATAGAAAATATAGTCCCTGCTCTTAAGAAATTCACATTTTTTTCATGTAAAACATTTCTAAATTAGCCATGTTGCCAAAAAAAATTTGAAAACGACTTCAATCTGTGCTCAGAGTTCATCAATTCTCTCTCTGGAGATGGTTAGAATTTTTCATCATGAGTCCTCTGGAATTGCCTTGGATCATTGCATAGCCATCATTACAATATTGCTGTTACTGTGTATAATGTTCTGGTTCTGTTTACTTCACTTTGCATCAGTTTTATAAGTCTTCCCAGGTTTCTGAAAGCATCCCCCTCATCATTCCTCATAGCACAAAGTATGCCATCACAATCCAATAGCACAACTTGTCCAGCCATTCCTCAGTACGATGGGCATTCTCTCAAAGTCCAGTTCTTTGCCACCACTGAAAGGTTCTATAAATACTTGTGTACAAATTGGTCCTTTTTGTTTTTCTTTTATCTCTTTGGATGCAGACCTAGCAGTGGTATTGCTGGGTCTAAGGGTATGCAGTTTTATAGTCCTTTGGGCATAGTTCTGAATTGTTCTCCAGAAAATCGTTGGATTATAAATTGAAGTTCTTGATCAAGACTTCCCATATTAGTCTCTGGGCAATAACTGTTTCTAGTTCTCATTCTCAATGGGTTTACTTATCTATGGGAATCACCCAATTTTTCTCCATCTTCAGACTTCAAACATATATAGTTATTTAGACTGTAAATGTGCATTTTCAGATATAGTAATCATGGCTTATGAGCTGCTAGGGGGTACATTGAATAAAGTGCCAGGCCTGGAGTCAGCAAGACTCATCTTCCTGAGTTCAAATCTGACCTCAGACACTAGCTGTGTGATCCTGGGTAAGTCACTTAATCCTGTTTACCTCAGTTTCCTCATCTGTAAAATGAACTGGAAAAGGAAATAGCAGACCACTCCAGTATCTCTGCCAAGAAAAACCCAAATGGGATGACGAAGAATTGGACACAATGAACAGCCATTACTTTTTTTTTTTTTTTGCTTTCTGGTGAGGCAACTGGACTTAAGTGACTTTCCCACAGTCAAACAATGACTTTTAAGATCCCTTTCCACTCTAAGTCTCTGATTCTCATCTGGTAAAATTCACATTTTGGTGAAGGCCCCGAAGCTGAGAAATTGAGTGATTTACTTGCCTAGAAGTAGCAGAGTGGGAACTCAGACTCAGGTTTTCTGACCCACTCTACTGGAGAAGGGCTGACTTCAGGACATCTGACCTACACCCTCTTCTTTCCTCTTTGCCCATAAAACTGCTAGCCTGACATTCCCAGGGGCTGACACTTCTCATTGAAAAAGACAAATTTGTAGATCAAAAGAATTCACCTACAGAGGAAGTGTATATTTGAGTAGCTGAGTTCTTTGACCTGATTTTCCTCCCCGACTCTCAGTTTCTTTTTGTATTTGTTAAAGGCATAAGTAAAAGTGGGATAGAGATTGAAGTCAATAAGATTTGGATAGTTCAGAAAAATTTTGGGCACCTGTTTTTTTAAAGAGTAGCTAAGTGGCACAATGGATAGAAAGCCAGGCCTGGAGTCAGGAAGACTCATCATCCTGAATTCAAATCTGGCCTTAGTAGCTGTGTGACCCTGGGCAAGTCACTTAACCCTTTTTGCTTCAGTTTCCTTATCTGTCAAATGAGCTAGAGAAGGAAATGACAAACCACTCCAGTATCTTTGCCAAGAGACCCTCAAATGGGGTCTCAAACAGTCAGACATGACTAAACAATAACGCTTTTTTAACAGTGAGTATTTCCTTACTGTGGTATACCTCTAGATGGCACAATGGATAGAGTTCTTGGCCTGCAGTCAGGAAGACATGAGTTCAAATGTGACCTCATACGTGAGCTACATGAGCCTGAATAAGTCACTTAGCCTCGTTTCCTCAAATGTAAAATGGGAATAATAATAGCACCTATCTCCAGAGTTGTTGTGAGGATCAAATTGTAAAGCACTTATTACATTGCCTGGCACATAGTAAGCACTATGTCAATGTTAGTTATTATTATTCTTACCCATCACAAACTTGTACCAGGTTGGGGGGGCAGGGGGAGGAGGGGATGAAGGAGGAAGGCAGCATTCCTAATAGTGAGTGTGAGTAAACTGCAACATATAACCACCATCAAGACAAAAAAGGGTAAAATAGGTCATCAATGTACAAAAGGAAAAGAAGGTAGCCTGGTCAAATGGGTGAGGACGAGAGACAACTGGGTGCAGCCCCACTGGAATCCTTGAGATACCAACACGTTGGGTGGCTCCCTATGGCGACCTCAGGGATGACACGGACAAGAATCACGCAAGATGAATAATGAAGATGGGGTGTGGTCTGTATCATCAAGAAACAATCAGAAATGTCACATATCCATTGGTGT